TCCAGGAAGCCGATGAGGACCTCACTGGGATGCACCTTGCAGTTTTGCTGGGGCTGGTTGGAACCTACTCACCTGCTCTGTCTTGGTACCTCACTCTTCTCTGGCCCACTTTCCTTTTGGGTTATCCCTGGGATTTTAGTTCTCCACCTTGGAGCTTGGGCCTTTTTTACTCCAGGCAGAGTCTGTCTTTCTTTAATAAACTAAAGCCTGGCTTTGGCAAAGTTGGCTAGGGAAGGAGAAAAAGAGTGCTGGCTTTTTCCTCCCAGGATCCCCTTCCCTGTCGGGTCTTGCTGGTGTTGCCGTTACTTCCCTGCTAGTTTCACCATTAGGATTGACAAGGGAGGGTAACCGAGTCTGGTTTGTAAGATGAGGCTTTCTTTCTGGAGTCTGTGGGCCCTGCTCCGTCTCTGCTCTGCACCTGCACCATGGACTCCAGCTTCGCTCCTCTCTCTTGAGCGTGCGCCAGGACCGCTGAAAGCCTCAAAGCCCAGACCCCCAAGAGCCGGGCCCAGGGAGGAAGAAGCACCATTTTACCTTGCTGTTTTCTCTTACTTGCTTCTTCCCTGAACGATTAACACTTGGAATGCCACACCCTTTTAAGATGGGCTGTTAAAACCTGTGGTTTAAACATATCTGCATATGTCATAGTAACACCAACACTTGTACAGAAGATGAACACAGACTTTGGTTTTTCCTTTAGATTTCTGCCCTGAGGCCTTACTTAAGGCCATTAACTTCTTCCTGCAAAGATTTCCCCTGGGATTTTCCACCATTTCCCCAAGAATTCACTCATTTCATAAGTATTTACTGAATATAGATAAAATACATCTCTGTCTTGGGGCGCCTGGGTGGCTCAGTCGGTTAAGCGTCCGACTTTGGCTCAGGTCACGATCTCGCAGTTCGTGAGTTCGAGCCCCGCGTCGGGCTCTGTGCTGACAGCTCAGAGCCTGGAGCCTGTTTCAGATTCTGTGTCTCCCTCTCTCTCTGACCCTCCCCCGTTCATGCTCTGTCTCTCTCTGTCTCAAAAATAAATAAACGGTAAAAAAATTAAAAAAAAAAAATACATCTCTGTCTTTCCCCTTTGCCTATGGTTTCTTGCCAAGGTTTGATACGGCAGCTCAAAGAACACCTGCTAAATATCACTAATAAGTGAAAGAAGTCTTTGCTCTCCATGACTTTTAGACTCTGTGTGACAGTCCAGTCACATTTGCAAAGGTGACTACCTGCTTTCCATGTTGTCCTGGTCCAGTCACACCTTTGTTAAGGCATCTCATCAATAGGAAATGATCAGCTTTTTATATAACAATGAAAACACCATGTTTAAGCATATGATTGAATTTAATAAATGCTTTATTGATGAGAATTAAAGACAAAAGTGGGTAGAAGTTAGACTTTCTAGTTCTCTCTAGAACATTCTGCCGAAATACTAATGAGCACAAATTCTGATGCAGAGGTCTCTTCATAATTGACCCCAATGGAGTCATCAAGCATTTGAGTGTCAATGATCTCCCCGTGGGCCGAAGTGTGGAAGAGACCCTCCGTTTGGTGAAGGCATTCCAGTTTGTGGAAACCCATGGAGAAGTCTGCCCAGCAAACTGGACCCCGGATTCTCCTACAGTAGGTTTCTTTTCCAAAAGCAATGAGGTCCCAGCATAAGGATCCCAGGTCCTTATTGCCTCAAGAGATGCTGGCCTGGAGCACCCACAAAAGAACCCACCCTTGGTGCCAGGGTGCAGATAGTGTGCAAATGGGTGAGGCTGCCGTGGGGTGGGGGTTGGGGTGGGATCAGGGATCAGGCAGGCTGTTAAAACAATGTTCATCCATGCATTTTAAAGGAAACAGACCACACTTTAAGAAGTAAAAGAACTTTGGGTTAAAAACTGAGCTTTCAACTCACTTTTGAGACTGTTATCTTAAAGGCAGTTACCTGATTAAATGTTTTTGTACTTTCAGATCAAGCCACATCCAGCTGCTTCCAAAGAGTACTTTGAGAAGGTAAATCAGTAGGTCATCCACCCCCTGCGTACCTGCAGCTTCTCCCATCAGAAAGAACCACATTTGGACTCACCTATTAGCATTTCAAAGATGATGATTTCTAGAAGACAAAAAACCAATTATGTTTGCATTCATAAATAATACTCTGAGTGTTTTCTTTTTGTAACATTGGCTAAGGCTTTTTTAAATGTACTCACACATACAAAGCGTCCTTTATTGGTAACTTCTTGGTGGCTAGTTTATAGAATTTGCTGGTTCATCTATTCCTTCGATTGTGTCTTCAATGGGAAGAGCAAACACTCTTCTTTCTCAGCCTTACTCGAACTTTTCTGTGCAGCAGAGAAGTCAAACGAGCCCCCAAAGCTTCTGATCGAGGGTCCTGAAATTTTCTTCTTGGATTTGTTTGTACTAAACTGAATTTTCTTTTCAGGCAACAAAGATCATAGTTTGAAGGTGTTAATGTCAGCAGTCTGCTTTAACTCTTGCAGTGGACGTATATGTACTTGAAACAAATGTGAATCATGTTTTTAAAAAAACACAGTGACAAATGACTTAAGCGATCATGCATGTTTCTCTTCCCTGAGATTAAAATAGTTATTTTACTTATTTGCTAGCTGACATAGTGTCCACAAATATTGTAGATATTGATTGGGCGTAATTATAAAGCATATTTATTGAATCCAGTAATTGCATTTTGAAATCATTGTAATTATTTTCTTTTCTGAAGTGCTCAATGTAAAGTACATAATAAACATATTTTAAAATATTTGCATGCTCAACACCATTAATTGTTGGTTCGGCTTATGTTGTGAGGCTCTAGGTCTCCTACTGATTAGAACAGCAAACATTTATGGAGCATTTAGCTCAGGGCCCCCAAATATGAATAAGATGCTGGCTCTGTACCCAAGGAACTCAAGTTAGGGCAAGAGAGATATGGAAGCATCTATTCATTATATCAGTAAATCCTGGGTGCTGTTTTGGAAGCATAAGGGTGAACAAAAAGAGACAACCCCCTTCCTTCATGCAGTTACATTCCAGAGAGGGAAACCCAATAAATATAATAAAAATACATAGAATGTTTGAAAGGGAAATAAAGTAGAGTAGGGGGCTAGAGCAGAGAATTGAGATGTTCTAGATGGGGTCGTCAGGAAGGCCTTAAAGTCAATGTCCAGGTCCGTTTTCTCATCTGTAAAATGAGGGCAATAATTGTCATACCTCAGGGTTTTGATGAGGATCAAGTGAGATAAAACATGTAGAAAATGAGGGTGCTAGGCAAAGGGTTTGGCAAGTGCAAAAGGGCCTGAGGCAAGAGTAGGCGTAGAGTGGATGAAGAATTGAAGGGGCTGTGAGACTGCAGTGGTGAAGAAGGAGAATGGTCACGGGGAGCCCAGAGTGCCTTATGGGTAAACTGGGGACTTTGGATTCTCTTCTAAGAATTTAGAAGGTTTAGAATTTAGAAGGTCTCTTCGAAGGTTTTGACTGACAAGAGTCGCCTCAAGCGTTTTTCTAGGAGGATCACTCTGGCTCCTTTGTTAAGACTAGACTATAAGGGTCCAGAGAAGAGAAGCTGAGCTGGATTTGACATACTTGAGGGTAGAGCCAACAGAAAATCATACAGGTGTGCTAAATACTATGGCACAATACGCAGTAGATGCATTCCTGGGGTGTGAGGGGAGCACTGGGGATGGGGGAGCTTACCCAGCCACTGGCATGGGGGTGAACTTCCTGGAAAAGGAGATGAACTCTTGAGGTTATTGAAAAGTGAGCCAGGTGAGCTGAGCAAAAGGGGGCACAAATTCACATCAGCCTGCATAAAACCTTAAGCTTTCACGTCCCTGGAGGGAAAGGCAAGACAAGGCAAGGGACAGAACAGGACAGCTGGCTGTTAAAGACCCAAACTGAGCTTTTCCAACGGACCTAGGGTCATGTTAGGGCTTTTACATGTTTCGTCTCATTTGATCGGCAACAAAACCTTAAAATGGGTACGATTACTGTCCTCTTTTTACAGATGACTAAATAGACCCATTTATGTTGATTTCACTAATGCCATCCAACTAAGTAACTTATGGTCTTCAACCCAAGACTCCTGAAGACCCCTGAACTCCCTAAATGTCCAGGAGCACACATTCTACAACCACCCCACCCACCCCAGTGCAGGGCCAGGATGTAGGGGAGGTAGCAGCAGGAGGAGGGCAGATGCATTTCTTCTCCACAACCAGACCCTACTTGATCTGGTATTCAAAGGAAGGAACTGAAACTGCCCCAGCACTAGAGAAAAACTTGGGGAGATTGCACTTTATGCAGTGCCCTCTTCACCCGCAGGGTCAGGGCCCCACACTTAGAAGGGCCCTGGGCCTGGTTTAATGCTCGGGATGTTGACTTTTTGAAACTCTCAATCGTTTTTAAATAAGGCGTGCCACATTTTCAAATTTCACCGTGAAAATTAAGTAGCCAATCCTGACTATCCCCAACGCCCTTCCAAAAGGTTGGCACACCCGTCATCTGGGTAAGATTCAGGTTCTTCTCAGTAGGTACTGTGATGGGGGGGAGAGGGGTCCATAGGTGACCCCTCCAACCTGGAAGCGGTCCAGCTACCCTAAAGGGAGAATAAGGTTGGGAAGACTTGGTCTGCAGGAGGATGGGCAGGTGCACAGGGACGGAAGGCTCACGGGGACCAGGGCGGGATGGAGGCGTGGGATCTGGACGCTGGAGCGTGGTGGCAGCGAGCATCGGGAGTTCGGGGACCCGGCAGCGGGAATACCGGGCGCACCGGGTTCCCGCCACTGGCGCGCGGCGACAAAGAGCAGCGGGCGAGCCAGGAACCCGGCAGCGGGAACAGGGGACGCGCGCGCGCCTGGGGCGGGGCACGCCGCCCGGCTCCTCCTCCGCGCCTGGCGGGGTGGCGGCGGCCTCCCTCCACTACACAGGTCCCAGGAAGAGGAGCAGGAGGAGGAGGAAACGCGGGGGGCCGGGCGGCTCCCAGGGTGCAGCGGCGCGGCCCCCGCATGGAGCCCAACGTGCGCTTCTGGATCACCGAACGCCAAGTACGGCCCGGGCCCGGCGCGGCTGGGGGCGGGGAGGCCCTGGGCCGCGTGAAGTCACCGGCTGGAGTGCTGGCTGGCCCGGGTGACCTTGGGTAGGCCACGTGGTCGCACCACCCGCCTTCCCACCTCAGACCCCGGGAGGGGACGAAGGGGAAACCCAAGCGTGCGGGAGGCCGACAGCCAGGGCTGGTACCGCGTGTCACCGCTACCCCAGGCCTGGCTAGCGAGGGTCGTCACAAGGTCACCCTACCCATCGTCCTGAAGAGTCAGGCCCCGCCTCGCAGGGGTCTGCCCTCCGCTGCCTAAGCTGTTGCTGACCACCAGCTTGGAAAGGAACAGATGCATCCAGGAGCCACCCCCGCCCCTCCTGACCTCCGTTGGCTCAGCCGCTCGGATGGCACAGGGGCTGTCGGCAGCGGTAGACAGGGAGTAGCGCGGGCCCCGCCTCTAGGCGGTGACTGGGCGGCGCTGCCCAATAGAAATACGATGGGAGCCGTAGAGGTCATTAAAATTTTTCTAGTAGCCACATTCAAAAGGGTAAAAAGGAACAACAGAAATTAATTTTAACAGTCTATTGTATTTAGCCCAACAGACGTAAAATATTCACGTTTCAACACGTAATCAATGTAAAAATTATTAATGAGATATTTACATCCCTTTTTTACATCTTTGAAATCTGGTGTCTATTTTACACATACAGCATATCTCAGTTTGGCCTGGCCACATTTCAGGGGCTCCAGAGCCACACGGGGCTAATTGGACCATACAATTCTAGGGTGTTCTCTTTCAGCCTTACCTAAAGGAGGGCCTAGCCTGGTTTTGAGTAGGGAAGCTGAAAGGGGACAGGGAACTCCAGCTTTCCAGGCAGAGCCAGCACCGGAAGCCAAAACCATTGCAGAGGTGGTGTGTGTTGTGGGGGAGGGGAAGGGGAAGGTTTTGGAAGCCAACCACACTTCCTCTGTCCACATGTGAACTGAGCTGCCTTTATTGATGCCTGGCTGGGGTGTCGGGTTCTTTATGACTCAAGTTAAGTCTTAGAACAATGATAAGAGGGTAAAGAAGAAGCTTCTGAGAACTTTCCAGGTAGTTGGTTCCAGGTCATTTGTGCGATGTGAACATAGATAGGCGCATTTGACCCCAGAGTCTGAGCTTTTAACCCTCGAGAGTAATTTGATATTAGAGTAGTTAAGAGCACAGGCTGCTGGGTTTGGTCCCGGCTGGGTTTTCTTGGGTACGTTCATGAGCTTTACCTCACCTGTAAAATGGGGATGTTGCAGGAGCTGCAGTTAGAAGCCCTGTTAGGGTCTCAAACATTATGTTCACCGTTATTATTACCATATATCTTTTCTTTTCTGCCACCACTAACCTCTCTGGTGCTCTTCTCCCTCTCCAGTCTTTTATTCAGAGATTCGTTCAGTGGACAGAGTTATTGGATCCTACAAATTTGGTCGTTTCAATTGTGAGTATCTCCTTGTTTTCTGAGATAACGCATTTCACATCTTATTCTGAAATGGGAAGACCGTGTGTCCCTTTTGAAAAGCAGTGGAAACAGAACCCATATATATTATCACGTTTTCATTCCTTCAGAATGAGCTTGTTAGATTGGTAGGTGGGTAAGCAAATGCTGACAGGTAATACCAAGCTCTGGGCCAGGTGCTGGTGGTTCAAAAGGGATCAAAACAGTCATCCCTGGTCGTGGAGAATAGACCGGCAGAGGTGATCACAGACCTTGACCTCGGGTTCTAAGGGAGGCGGAAGGCCAGAGGGAGGAGGCATCCAGGAAAGGTCAGATAGAAGGGACTGTAAGCAAAGCCCAGGGGAGAGAGCGGTAGTCCGGTCAGTGCGTTGGGGAACCAGGCAGTTCCTGAAGGGCCTTGTGTGTCATTCAGATGAGAGGGGTTTGCATTTAGCCTGCAGGGCGAGGTGGTGAGGTTTGTGGTTCAGAGGGTCTCTGGTCACCATGTGGCGAAGGATCAGAGGGATCAGACTGTAGATGAGGTGAGCTGTTCAGGGAATGGCTCAGCTATCTGAGTGAAAGACCAGGGTTTGAACCATGTGTTGCTGAGGGCAGAAGAGTAGATGCCCTGTCACCAGCAATACCCCTCAGGGCCAGAGCCACAGGGACACTCCCATTCTTGTGTTCAAGTTGTTCCAGGCAGCCTTCTTTATTTTTATTTTTATGTTTTTTTTTAATGTTTATTTTTGAGGGAGAGAGGGAGACAGAGTGTGAGCCGCGGAGGGGCAGAGAGAGAGGGAGACACAGAATCCAAAGCAGGCTCCAGGCTCCGTGCTGTCAGCACAGACCCGACCTGGGGCTCATGAGATCATGGCCTGAGCCGAAGTCGGATGCTTAACCAACTGAGCCGCCCGGGTGCCCCACAGTCTAGTTTATAATAGAGAAAAATAAGCTGAATGCCCATCAGTAGGGAAATAGGAAAATATAATGTATATTCATACAATGGAATACTAATAGAAGTTGAAAATGATGATCTAGTTAGCGATGTATAGTATTAACATGGAAACACGTGTATGATGTTACATGGAAAGCATCTACAATGTTAAGTGGAAAAAGCAAGACGCATAAAGTACAACATTTATGCAGATGACAATATAAACCAAAACTACATCTTTGTTTACAGATACATGTATTCTTATTTGTAGAAGTATAAGAAAGTGGACTGGAATTTCATACCTTGAACTCATAATACTTTCTCTCTGATAGAATAGGGAGACAGGAGACTGCGGGTGATGGCTTTTGGGGGAAAAAGAAAAAAAAAAAAAAGAAAAATTGGAAGCAAATATAACCGAATGTTTGCAGCTGTTAATTCTGTGGAAGGGGATTGGGAGTATGTACTCATTCTTTGTATTTTCTGTATTTAATTCTTTTTTTTTTTTTCCTCAAATTAAGAAGAAATGAAGAGAGGAAGTAAGCCTGAATGGATCAGATGTGGGGGTGAGAGAGAGGAGAGATCTTCAGGTTTCTAACTCTCAAAGCCAGGCAGATGGTGGTGGCTCTCACGGAGACAGCTGACATCAGAGAATGGGAGGGAGGTGGCAGCACCCGTGGCTTGAGCTGCTGGAGCTGTCTGGGAAGCTGGGAGCTCTGGATCTGAGTGCCACACGGGCCTATCCTCATGGAAACTCTAAGGGAGTAGAGAACATCATCAGTGTGTTGTACTGAAATCAGATGTCAAGGAGCATGTGATTCCTAAATCTGAGGATATAGCTAAACGATATTGAGATCATTGCTTGATTTTTTTTTTCTCTCTGATCATAGGAAAAAATAGAAAAATCAAGGCAACTATTGTTAACAAATGAAGATGCATTCATACATGACTTGGAGGACCGAAGGGTATGTGTCCCGTGCCTGGTTCAGGGTTGGATGTGGTTGCCTTCAGGAGATTCTGCTTGCATGGTCTCAAATCAGATGGAGTCTTGTCATAGTGAACACTGCCCAGGGGATCTGCTTTTTAAAACTGGATTAGTTTTTTTTTTTATGTTTATTTATTTTTGATAGAGAGAGACAGAGCACAAGTGGGGGAGAGGCAGAGAGAGAAGGAGACACAGAATCTGAAGCAAGCTCCAGGCTCCAAGCTGTCAGCACATAGCCCGACATGGG